AAATCAAACATGAGGGTGATCGACAAATTTCCCACTCAATCAAAAACAATGAACTCCTAGGAGAACAGAATGTGCAAATGTAAAAATGCCTCCGCAAACTATTAAGGGAAATGGGACTGCAGCCTACGCATCAAAACAATTCATCCACAGTCATCAAGAACCTAGAAACAAATATATCTGTGGAACTGCTTATTGACGACACTTCTTATGGAGTATCACCATTCAATGGGAAAAGGTATCAAATTCCAACAATAATCATTGACTGGTAGAGAACCATCAGGGTTTGAGGGCAATGGCCAGCCCAAACCTGGGATTTTTTTCCAATGCCTTGGTGTCAACCTCACTAGAGATTGTCAAAACGGACTTTGGTATGACCTCATGCTGCAGCAGTGCCCCAAGCTTTCCGTGGTTATTGAGCTTTGCCTTCACTACTGTCAGATGATCAATAGCATATGAGCCTCCAACTGTAAAAGTGTTCTCATTAGTGGAAAACCTTCTGGTTATCTCTCCCACAGTAGCACTTTTCTTCAACTGATCCAGATGATGTATATATGAAGCTCTTATGGTGTCTCCCTTGTCACCACTGAAGAACACAAAAAAGAGCACCCGTGTATCAAACAGCCTGTATATAAATTAACTTACAAACAAAATTGACTGATAGATGAATTAAAAAGCTTACAGAATTATTGAAGCACACGAATCTGGTTTGTTCACACTAATGCCAGCAGTGTACTTTGTAAAATTACCAGAGGTAGTATCATAGCCAGCCTCTGCACCAAAAGCAATGCTTGGGGTACCAATGGTGGCAGTCACATCAATGCTGGGGGATTGATTCAAAGCAACAGCTGTGGTGAAGGTGGCGTGATCATGGAAGTACTGAACCTCCAACTGCAAAACAAAGAGCAGACATAAGTATAGAAAGCCAAGGTTATCTCTAAAACTTTCAGCTTAAGAGAGGTCAAAACTACCTACCTTGCCAGAGTTGTAATCAGGCACTTTGAATGATGCAATGGCCTTCGTTGACGGAAGGATTTCAGCAAAAATTAAAGTTGTTGAGATCTGACAGAACACAGCGAGAGTGTAAGGAGCTAACTACTAAGCTCAACAAAGAAATTTACGTATTAACTTTTTCAAAGAAAACTTACGTTCGACCCTGTGTCAACTTTGATATCAAATAAAACATTTTTGTACTTGTACAATGCTGCAACATCACCAGTTGAGAGTCCTCCTTTGTTCACTGCAGTTGATGTGAGGGCCTGGAAAATGAAAAAAGAGTGAATTACATTATATGCAAAAACTAGTCAACAGAGATAATATAAATAAACAACGAAAGGTGCATCAAGTGTTAAATAAGTGGAAAGCATGACCCATGACTCATTCAGATGCAGTTCAGAAGGTGTTAAGCCCTCCAACAAAAACAAGTGTAGTATTTTCTTTTTTAAGTAATGTGATTAAATTTGAAGGCATACAGCCACTTCAACCTCCTGCTGACTTCAGATTTTCAAATTTTGGAGCAGCGTACAGGAGACACTTAAAACTTTTAAAGAATAATATTGTTCTAATAGGAATTGCCAGCAAGCTCAGAAGCAGAAATACTGAGCTAGGTTAAACATTCATCTACAAGTGACAACCATCATATTTAGATGCCAGAAATGGTTTGAATCCCTCGGATTCCACATTTACACAAACCACAAGTTGTATAAGTCCAAAGTTAAGATAACAGTAAACAGAATGGAATTCAAAGATTGTTCAAGAAGCAGGGAAGTTAGATGCCACATTGAGTTCCAAGATACAATTTAAAAGGCAGCCAGATCTCTGTATGACTGACTTTCAAACAATTCACAACCAGCTTCATGAAAAAAATACTTAACAAAAGCCACAAACTTCTTTCGCTAACATAACTCCACGAGAACCACAAAGATAAACAAAAATAAATAAATAGACACCAACATCCTCGTGAGTTTTTCCAAACCAAAACAATAGAAGTTAATTATCATTAATTATACAACCCCGTTTTCCATGTCATTGGTCATCTCCTCGATTCCAGTAACCCCCACCAATTTTTTTTTATTTTTTCCTTTTTCACTCTTTGGCTTGTACTCATTGATGCCTTTCTTCCTGTCTATGTTAAAATTTACTTGGACAAACCACAAACATAGACTTTCTTTTCATAACCAAACCATCATAACTATCTTCCCCAATAACCTTACATCTTCTCCAATCTTTGTGATGACTCTAAACACCAATAAAGCTACATGACACTCAATTTCCACCAAGTAAGCATCACTGCTCTTGATTCAGTAATTGCATCAAACCAAATGACACCACACTGGGCAAACACCCTCTTCCATATAGATATTTTAATTGCTTCCAGAAGCACTTGTAAGTATAGTGTGTATACTAGGCTATATATTTATTCTCACTTCTTTCCCATTTCACTCCTGAGTTGACGAAAATAAATTCGAAAATTTTAATTTTTTTTATCATCTGTCAATTACTACAACTATAGTTTCAGTAACCAAGAAAATGGCAAAATGCTAAACCAAACCATTCAGCAAGTGACCAACCAGTCAACTAATTAAACAGAAAAAGAGTGCTTTGCCAAAGAAAAGAAAAAAGATGTTGAATCCGTTCAAAAAATAAACTCAAACTAGGCAATACAGCGTGTAACTCATCTTATCACAATCACGGATATATAACCAAAAAAACAAATTAGAACGGCTTCTTTCAGTGCTTTCGTGATTTATAGACATTTGAAAATACAAAACAAAAAAACAAAAAAGATTTATAATCAATCACGATGAATTGAAAATTTATTAAATACTAATTAAGACATGAACAGAACTTTCTTTTACTCTGTCAATGAATCAAATTATTATTAAAGATTTAATCATTAGATCAACAATCGAAGCGTTACATAACGTACCACTCCGGAAGCGCTGAAAGTGGAAACACTAAGCTTCTGATCGGCGTTGTAATCTTTCGTCAAAAGATCTACCAAAAAAATATATACACAGATATAATTCCAATTTCAAAATAAAAAAACAGAACACAACATAATACGAATACAAATTAGTCGACGGAGAGAGTGATCAGCGATTATTACCTTTGGCTTTCTTGCCAATATCAGTGAAGAGGCCTGGTCCCTTACTCATGGTTGATTAATTAGAAAAAGAGGGATCTGTGAGCGGTGGGGCTGTGAGGAGGAAGTGGTGAAGAGAAATAGATGGTTTTATTCCTGTTTATTATTTTTCGTTTTTCTCTTGTCGTGGCCACGAATGTGGGAAAGTCAAGTGTGGTGATTGCCTGTGACTGTTTTTAAAGTAACAGGCACAGTCTTCACCGTTTATCTAATTTGATATTAAGGCGGAGTGTTGGTAAGTGGGTCCTGAACTCATAATTCTGTGACATGCAATTGAAGAAGGCAGGAGCCAAAGGATCTTTCGTCTAATCAGCAAATGAGGGCTCGTGGCATCAAACAGCTTGGACTTTCGATTTTATTTCATCGAAATGTTGACCATACATTCTTGGACCCCCTAGAGTTTTCAGAAATTCTGAAACCTCCCATAAAGTTTGTGCAAATTGGAATCACCTCCCTTGACCTGTTAATTAACTACGAAACACTAACTCATAAGTTTTAGAGTGAAAATGAGTAGTACTACTCATCCCAAAATATTTTCCAAAAATTACATCCCAAATGATGTATCACAGTATGGGGCATCGTTGTATCGTTTACATATCATTAATTTATAAGATAATATCTAACAACCCCTTATGGTTTGGGTTGTCTTCTAGAAACCCAAGGGTATTAAGAATAGCCCTGCACCCCACCATTAGTCAAACGTTATAAATCTTCTGTTAATTTTTAATAAGCAGTGTTAAAAGAGTAAATGTAATGTAATTTTTTTTTTTTTTTTTTTTTTTTTTATGACCAGGAGTATTTGAGCCAGTTTACGCACACCTCATTTAATCCCTCAAGATCCTGAAACTACTGGTCGGTTAAGAGCTCCAATAGTCAATCCTATTAGCAACTCAATTAATCCTCTAGGACCTGAAACTACCTGCCAAGTAAGAGCTTTAGTGGCCACGCCTATTAGCAACTGAGGAGGGGTTCGAACTCAAAACCTTTTGAATAATACACCCAATAGTCTCAATCAAACTACTCGATCACCTAGAGGTTGGTTTATTCTATACTAAGAATACTTTAAACTAATTTAAAAAATATATATATATTAAAAACTTAAAACCTAATAACTTTTAGCTCTCCCTCTCTAATTACCTTACACCACCGTCATCACCAAATCGTCCAAAACAAGTAGCTCCCCCTCCACCCATCATTCTCCAAACCCACACCACCATCATCACCATCCAAAAAAATAAATCTTCACAAGAAACCTTCAACGTCATTAAATTTTCACTCCAAACCCCAAAAATAATATCAATGCTACAAATACCCATTTTCACACACACACACACAAAAATAAATAAATAAAAATTCACCTTAGATGCCGAGGCAATGTCGCGGGCGCAACTAGCAGCATGTGTGGCCAAGGCCAATTAATCATTAGGGTTGTCATGCCATCCGTCGGGATGCTACAGAAGAATATTGAGCAAGCAAGGCAAAGACAGAGGAATTTCGGGAATGGTAAGTCGCTGGTGCAGCCCAACTTTCCCGAATGTCTACCATCGACCCTTCTCCTTTCCAAGTTTGGTTTTTTTTGCATAGTTTCAATCGTTGTGGTCGATGGGAAGAAACAAATGAATGTATGTTCTTTTGGGAAAATGTAGAATAATACAACCTGATTTATCGCTATGATCCATGGTATTCTTGCTAGATGATATGACCAACAAATATGATTGATATTTAGTGATTCATTCTCTTCATATCAAAGAAAGAACCCTACCAGAGTAGCTCACTGACGAGAGGGGAGGCTCCCTTCTTTTCTATCTCTTCCATATACATTTTGAAACAAAAAATGAAGGGATTAGATCAGATGCTTGGGAGTTGTCTGAATGTTTTGAGTCGCCAGTGCTAGAAGAGGTCGGGGTTTAGGCCATGCTTTAGTTGCCAATGCTGGAAGATGTTGATTAAGGTTGACTGGTTGAGGGGTTAGTTTAGGATAATTGCGGCTCCGTTTGGCATACTATTTTTACCCTATCCTATTCTACTATCCTATCCTAAAAAATGAAAAATGCATTTGTTTTAATATTCTTCAAAATCCAATCATATTATATTCAACTCAAAATATTAACAATTAACCTTCTCAATAAAATTTTTAAAATTAACAAAAACACCCCCACCCACCCAAGCCATTATCACCTGCCAGTAGCTACCGCCGTCGTTTTTGTCACTGCCAGAATGGCACACAACCAGCTGGATCTGGCCGGTCGTGCACTGATCAGTCCATTTCCTGATAGCCAGATCTTTGGTCATAGATCTAGTTCTTTCTGGCCAGATCGACGCATGACCGGCCAGATCCAGCCAGTCGTGCGCCATTCCAACGACTTCCAGCCATCGTTTGGCAGTGATGGTTGATTGCCAGCAATTATTAGGTGGGTGGGTGTGTTTTTGTTAATTTATAAACTTTTATTGTAGAGGGTGTTTAGCTAAATTAACAAATAAAAGGGGTTAAAAGTAATCTAAATATTGTTAGAAAATGTTTTCCAAAAATAAACCAAACACATTTTCATAATCTTATCATATTTGATTAAATGCTATTTAGAATAGAATACTATTCTAAAAAACTAAACAAACGAAGCCTTCATTTTAATATTTTCATTTATTTATTTTATACACAATTTTGTTTATTTTGTAATGTTTATGAATCATAGGGACTAATGAAATAATTTTAATGATACAGCATGTAGTATTAAGTAAAAAAGTTAAAAGGCAAGGGTAATATGGGTATTTAATTACATGGATGGTAGACTTTATCACATTTGGCTAAGGGCGGAAGGTTTAGGGCTATTCCGGATACCCACAGGTTTAGAGGGGGTTGCCACTATTATCTTTTTTAAGTGTCAAGATCACAGATATAACATATCATTTGGGGGCCATTTGGATTGGGAGTATATAAGATAACGAGGGTAATCTTCATTTATTTTGCAAGATTTCGGTGTTTGGTTTGCAAGTAATAAAATATTACGGTAATCTCTTATTGCAAATAGTGTTTACTGTTGATAATATGAGGGGTAATCTTATTACCTTGTTAGGGGTTGTTATCAAAACATTATCAGGGTAATCTGATTTTTTTACCCATTTTGCCCTCAATTAAAAATCATTTCGGACACAATTGCCCTCAAATGTCTACCAAATAATAATTGTCCAGCCCCCTTACATTTGAGAAATTAGCTAAAACACCCTAGCCATAAAAAAATTTAAAAGTTAACAAGATACCCCCAGCCACCCAAGACCACCATCGCCCGCTGGCGTCAGTCATCGTAATAGTGCACGACTGGTGGGATCTGGCCGGTCGTGTGCTAGTAAGGCCTTTTCTGGCCATGGATCACATATCCATGATCGGAAACGGCCAGATCTAGCATTTTTATGGTCGTTTCACGACCAAAGATTTGGCCGTAAAAGGCCCGATCTTTGGCCGTGAAATGGCACGGCCAAAGATTTGGCCTTTTCACAGCCAAATCTATGGTTGTGAAATGGCCATAGATCTAGCCGTTTTCTGCCATTTCCGGCTTTGCCATCGCATGACCGGCCATATATGGCCAGTCGTGTGCCATTCCATTGACTGCCGGCCATGGTGGTTGGCTGCCGGTAGTGGTTTGGGGTAGGTGAGGGTGATTTTGCTATAAATTAAAGTTTTATATGACTGGGGTGTTTTAGCAAAATTTCAACTATAGGGGGTTAAAATGATTTAAAAAATAATAATAAGAATAAAAAATACTATTATATTAATATTTAAAAAAGATGACAATTTAGTAACTATATAACATACCTACCCAATTATCCTCCCAACCAAACATATTATTCACTAATTTATTCGAACCAACCAAACACATTTTCTAAACATTCCTAGTAATCTTCAAGGTAATATTTCTTTCTTTTAATATAATATACCTCTATAATAAAACATTATATGATCCAAACGCCCATTTGGGATGTAATTTTTGGGATGTGTTTTGGGCTGAGTAATATTATTTAGTGAAAGAGTTGACATGTTCCCACCCAATAAATGGCACATTGACAAATTCACACCTGCCCACTTTTTAAATACCATTTAAGTACCCAAAGCACAATTTTGTTAGTAATTTTCATTGTGAAGAAGGGCAAAATGGTCAAAAGTCAGTTATTAGTAAGGGTAGAATGTTCAACAAACATTTGGCTGCTGGAGAAGAAGAAAAGAAAAGGGATAGTACACGTTAGCGAGAGATGGCGCACATTAGCAGCGACACAGCCAGCAGTTTTTGCCCTTTTTCAGTTGATCCTAGCATTCAAAATCACTTCCAAGACCACCCACATAATCCCCATCACCTCCTCTACAAAGCCTAAGTCTCCATTTCTCGTCATCACTCACCATTTCCCACCACCACCCCATTCGCATGGTCGACTCTTTAAGCTGGATTTTCGATCAATTTCTTTGCCAGAAATTCCCCCAAACACCACCATTACACTCCCCACCACCCACTCTACAAAACCCTTACCTCCATCATCGTCCCTTGCTCACTGATCGCTAGTCGTGCACAGCGAGACCTTTCAACTTCCAAGCTAATTTTGATCATTTTTAGTGTTGAAAATTGTCCTTCCCACCACCAATGGACTCCTTGGATCATCCTCTCCAAAAGCCCGACATTCCCGATCCCGTTTGCTCACCAATAGTCAGCGATTGAAGCTTCTCCACCCTTGGGTTTTTCGAGTTTTGGTCGATTAATTGGGTTTGATTCGTTTGGTTTTTGTGTTTGTTGGGTTGAAAAACGATTGAGGAATGTTTATTTGCAGTATTTGTGATTTGTTTGTTGATTTTCTGGTTGCTAGTAGTCCCCAACGCCGGCTGCAATTGCCGACAATGGAAGAGGCTAAAAAGAGAAGAAAAAAGAGGGTTTTTTTCGTAAATCATTGTATTTCCCACCCAAACAAGAGGAAAACATAATATTTGGGCAGTAAAAGGGTATTTTAAAAGTCTAAGGGTGGGAAAGTGTCAATGGGCCATTTTTTGCGTGAGAAAAAGTCGTTAGCTCTTTGTGAAAACTACCTTTGGATGACTGAGTGGTTCGATAGGGACTCTTAGATGTATTACTCAAGAGGTCTTCAATTCGGGTCTCTCCTCGGTTGCTAATAGGGGTAGCCACTGAAGCTCTTACCCGACCGATAATTTCAGAGTTCTGGAAGATTAGTCGAAGTATGTGTAAACTGATCCAAACATCCCAAGTCATTAAAAAAAAAAAAAAAAAAATCTTCTGTGCAAATTCAAGTTCGAATATTTTAAATTAAAAAAAAAATACAAAGCAAATGCAAAGTTTTTGACAAAATAATAATTAACGAAGGTTAAAACTTTTATTTAGAATGACACTGCATCCATTATTCATTAATGATTATTTAAAAGATTCATAATTAACTTTTTCTTGATAGTAAAATTGTTAATGTTCGTGAAAGGTCATTATATAATTTGAGTTACCGATTAGCGTCTGATGGTTACACTTGTTATAATCATAGGGAGGTAAAGGTAGTTTTAACAAAAATGGGGGAAGATCGTAATATTTTTTATAAGCACGGGGTCTTGCTGAAAATTTAGAAAACTTTAGGATAGGAAATTCACTGAACCTGCACCTTGACAAATAACAAGGGTTTTCAGTAATGGATACATGGGTTTGCTATAAATTTACAGTAAATATGTCTTATAATTATATGACCATGTGTGCTCAAGGAGTTATATTTATACATATTCTAAAATTTGTTTCAGCTAGATATGAAACTTAAATAATCACATTATGGTTAACAATTCATTAACTTTATACCCATGAGTTAAGAAAGAGGAAAATTTTAAGTCAAACTTTCAGATAAAAGATACAACCCTACTTTAAAAACTAATTTCAAATAAAGTTATTTCTTCTGAAAACATTTTTGAAGACATTATCATAGCAATAAATTGCATGATAAGTATGTTATTAATTCAATAAATATTATTAAAATATAATCTGAAAAGTTTTATACTATTATTTCGATGATTGTTAAGAATGAAACTGGAGCCATCCCATGACATTGCACTTGTATAGTGTTAGCTAAAGTGCACGACATAAGGCAACTGAAGAAGATATGTGCCTAACGACGACGTATCTGTGGAGGGTGACAGTCCATCACGTTTGAAAATCAATGTTGCCATGAAATTACAAAGTTTAGAAGAAAATTATCTTTTAAATAAATTTCCATTCATTAAAATTCTGTGTCGATTTATTGTGGAAGCAATGAGGTTTGTACTTGTAGTCGCCATGATTTCAAGCCACATCTTGAACACAAATCACAACTATTTTACGAAATTGCTTTTAGAAAATGCTATAGAAAAGACTAATGTAAAATTATACTTTCTCATATTGTTAAAAAAAATCAATAAGGTCAACGGGTGTTTAATAATATTTCTTAAAAACGAGGTTATATTTACTTATTAATCTAATACTAATTAAAATAAGTACTCCATTTTGCTAATTCCAAATAATAACCTTACTCAGAAGAGGTTTCAGGAAATAATATCAACCTTGAAACTTTACTCTCATTTCGATCTTTCAAATAAGCTAAGCTAGTTAGTGCCATTGTTTTAAAACCCAAACCGGAGGACAAACCGTTTTGCTGTCCGGGTCACGGGTCAACCGGTTGGACCGATAACATCAGCAATATTTTATTTTTAAAAAATTACATATTAACCCCTTATTTCAATATATTAAAAATTCCCCTAAAAAAGTTCTAATTGGTCCCTAAAATTTCTATTTATTCCAAAAATGCCCCAATAAAATTTAATTAATCCCTAAACTTTTGATATATCTCCAAAATACCCCTATAAAATTACAAGTAACCCTCATAATTTTAAAATATTTCAAAACCCCCCTGAGACCTAAACCGGACAGAAGAAGCTGCTGGTTCCCAGTCCAACCGGTCCGGTCCGGTCCGGTTTTTAAAACAGAGGTTAGTGCCACCACAATATAATACGCCATCATACATTTTTAAAAGGAAGAATGAAGCGGTTCTAAAATGTTACAGAATATCCATTTTATAGGGCTAAATAATAAACTAAATTTCACGTTGAGGATTAAATGAAACCATTTCTTATTGTTTCTTTACATTTTAACTGTCCGTGAGATTTTAACGGGATGGTAGCAAATCTTAAATCCCTATAAAAACATCTTAAATCCTTATAAAAGCAAAAATAAAGCCACAATCCAATAATATAGGTTTAGACTTAAAGTCAATCCACCTTGGGGGCTGCCAACATTAGACATAATAATCCAGGAAAGCTAGCCTAAAACTTCATGAAAATGGCTTCATAAATGTTGTGATAGGCAAAAGAAGAGGTACTGACGCTAACAGTGAACTTAAGTTCACATAAGTGATTGTTTAGGAATAGCATGCATGACCAGCTTCAGAGGAAAATGGAATCAATAATGTCAAAACATAATCAATCAATCCCAAACCAGCACTTATAAGTCTATGTTTGCTTCATCAAACAAAATGTAATTACATTATGTAACATATATGGATGAATGTAATGGCGTATTAGGAAACTGCAAAATGTTAAATTCAAAGATGATCACAAGAATCAATAAATGCTAAATGATAAACTAAATCATTTTGGAAAACTCAGATGATAAAGGCTCTGCTACTTTGTGCAATCTACTGCTTTTGATTAAATCATTGGTTTTTCTAAATGACAATTCAGATTATTGGTTCCATTCTTAGCTTTCCGATATCCTAAACAATGTCATGAAAACTTCCAGCTAATCTTTGTTAGACTAAATTATTATACATATTGCTATAGTACAGTAAACAATGATACACAATTAAACAATGATAACAAACATAACCCATAACCTATAATCTAAACAAAGCTATAACTTTTTTTTCTGGGGGGGTGGGGGTGGTGTAGGTAAACTTTATAAACAAAATGAAGGAGGTTACAAAGTACCGCGAACGGCACAACACAAACCACAATTAATAATACCTTAGAATTACTACATGTCTGCATATTGATCGAAACACATAACAAAGAACACCGCAGAAATTATAGCAAGAAATTCAAAATATAGCATTGAACAATTAAAGCAACGACAAAAATCCCCAATGAGGTCTCTTAAATCTCTAAGATAAGCCCCAAGATCCACCGCAAAACATGACATAATCATAAAATATCTTAATAACAGTTCCAAAAACAAAACATCCTAAATAAAGATAAATCTATGCTTTAGTAAACAAAAAAAGACAAACTCTTCCTCGAAAGACATCATAATCAGTCAACGCTCTGCATAATATCTTCAGGGGTGAACTTGGTTCCCTTCTCCTTGTCAGCCGCAGCACGACCCTTGGCCTTGCGGTCGAGCAATGACTTGCGGTCCTTGTCCAGTCTGAGTTTCGTGATAACAACCTTTGAAGGGTTGATTCCAACGTTCACTGTTGACCCGTTAACTTTCTCGCGAGTGATGCGCTCGATGTGGATCACCCATTTGCGCCTGTAGACTTGTACGACTTTGCCCTCGCGACCCTTGTAGGTACCACGGACAACCTGGACCTCGTCGTCCTTACGTACGGGCATTGAACGAACGTTGTACTTCTGGCGGAGGTCAGTCGAGAGCGGCGCGCTCATAAGGACACGGCGCACGCTTGAGGGTGCGCTAAAGTGCGCCTTCCGGTTCTTGCGGCGGGATGAGGACACCCTGGGATTGTACTTCATGGTTGCTGCTCGAGCTTAGGGCTTACCTTAGGCAAATGGAAACTTAAAGAGAAGCGGCTCTAAGAGAGAATAAAGAAGAGGGTTTGTGGTATTTATATAGGGTTCATATTCAGAGAGAACGGGCAAGCTAGGGTTTTGAGCTTGTAGCAGGCTTGGGCTGGGCCAACTGAATGAGGTTTTTATAAATAATAAGTCAGTAGGCCTAATCATCATAAACCATGGTTTATCAATTTTTTTCTTCATGCATAATAGTGCAAAAAGATCCACTTTAATAACCCCTATTTGAAAATGTCCAATCAAACAGATCCTTAATTTCCAAGGGATAGCAAAGAAATAGACCAATATATATATATATATATATATATAACCGAGGTTTTCGGGTCAACTTGCATATACCTCAACTAATCCCTAAGACTCATTGAATACCATACAAGCTCAATGTTCCAAGTAAACCATAAATGTAGTAGGTGACCTAAGGTAATTTGAACCTAGGAAGTCAATAAAGGAAGTAAACTTTTTTTACCGCCAGACCAACCCCTTGGGGTTTAAACCAATATTTTTGCACTTGCGAAACACAACACAAGCAATGGAAATACACTACATAATTGGGGTTTTAGACTTTTGAGTTCTACATTTTGTTGAAATTTTATTTAAATTTGTTTTATCAAATTTATTGCAAAACAATTGATTTTGATGGGTTCAATGAACATTATAGGTCAAATTAATTAGCTAATTTTGGTTACAAATTGTCATTTGATTTTAACACCAATGACTTCGCACGTGCAAAATGCTAAGTGGATCTTAAAAGTTACACACGATTACTATGAGATTTGGATTTAGGTCATAGTAGCATGCAAAGACTTAATAATAAATGAGACAGTGAGATTTTTATAGTGGTTCGGATGCTTAAAGCGATTTCTACATCCACTATTTTCTTTTATATGAGTGTTCTTAGTTATTAGCCAAGTTACAAAATGGGTCGCGAACTGCGAACTAAATTACAAGAACTTGGTATTTAGAGATAATATTAAGCCAATCTCTCTCCAATAGGTTGTCTTTGCTATTTGCTTTTATGAAAATCAGAGATCTCGATTTTGTGAGGGAGAGTCCTCTATTTATAGTTGCTTGAGTTTAAGGTAATGATTACAAGTCTGTAAGTGGGTAGATGTCGTGCAAGTCCTTCTTTGTGTCCCATTGGCTAATAACTTAGGAAATATCCTTAAATTATATGGGGCTTGGACATGTGTGTGGACCACATTCATTCATAGACCAAACTTGAGCTTGTTGAGTTGGTGACAACTGTATTCTCTTTGTCTTGGGGTGACATGGCAGATTGTAGGCGGCGCAAAGCCTTCCTGAACTCTAATTGGTGCTTGCTGATGTAAGCTTACGTCAGCCCTGATTTTTTAGGCATAACAGAAGCTCCCTAGTTCTTGAGATTCAAGGAATTAGATTTTGAGAACTTCATGATTATGCCGCAACTTGACTTGTCTTAAAAAATGCTTGCCTGAGATAAGTGCTAAGCGTAATCACATCATTCCAAACGACCTAAAGTTGACTACTTGATCTGATATCTGAAGTGTTGTCTTGATTTGGCTTGTGAACTAAATGCAGATCGTGAGTTATGTTTTGAGAGTAACACAAGCGACTTGATGTGATCGTTTACTGAGATCTACCAACCTAAGCTTGATCTTGTCTTGAGTCATTGGGATGTGTTTTGAACTCTAACAGTCATTCACGACCTGAAAACACTTAGAATATTTCATGGTTGAAAATTTTGAATTATCTTGTTTGGTGTTCATGTTTGACATGTTGAATAAATATCTTCTTTGAACAACCTCTTTAGATCTTAACTGTTGCGCTTGACAGCTAGCTCGGTCAATAAAATAATCTTTATCTGACAAACGTGTCTCTACACACAATAAGTGTCAGCCATGAGAATTAAATGAGAGTCATGCTGAAACAACATTCCCTTTTGGTGCAGAATGCACATTTAATAGGGGTGTTTGGTTCTAGGTACTCTACATTTTTTGAAGGAACTAAAACCAAAACCGAAACCAAAATCAGAACCGACGGTTCTGATTCCTAGGTACCCAGAACCAGAATCTGTAACAATGATTTCGGTTCCAGGTACCCTGTAAAATTATGTTACCCCCAAAAATTTTTAAAATGATAAAAAACCTCTTAAAAATTTACAAATACCCACCACCTGGCACTTGTTAACATAAATAAAATTACAAATTACAAACTCCAAAATTAAAATAATCTATTGAAAATCACAAATTCAAAATTAAAATATTACAATAATCCGTTGAAAATCACAAATTCAAAATTACAAACTCCAAAACTAAAATGATGAAATTACATAACATATAAAATAAGTAACATAACAATTAACAACATCCAAATATGAAAAACCGAAAATATCTCCTGCTCCATGCTCTAAATTGCTAGCCTCATGTGCATTAATTTCTACAAAATAAATACAAGAAAGTCAATTAGTAAGTTCTAAATATTGAATACAATTATTTGGGAATAAATTAACTAAATATGAATATAAAAGATTGATATTATATTGTTACTTGAGTCATAACTTTCTGCAACTATCAAGTAATCCTCAAAAGTAGTTGGGGTATATGCATATCTCAACCAATCTTGTGTACAAACTAATGCTTCCACAATGGGTATACTTAAAGAACTCCGAAATTGATCAAGTATAGGACCCGATGTACTGAAAGTTGACTTAGAAGCAACTGTAGATACCGGAATGGCAAACACATCTCTTGCCATATGCGAGAGAACCTTATACGTTGCATCATTTACTTTCCACCAATCTAGTATGTTCAAATTGGACTTCACTGGTAGACATTTCTCCTCGAGGTAAATTTCTAACTCTAATTTGGTCATATCATGAACCTATACCTCCATCTCCTCCTCATACTTGTCTAAGGAGCGGTCGTACTCACTATCATCACAACTCACACCAGCAGCTAAAGATTGGCCAATTCCGTTAATTTGGGAAGAATTGGAGGCTTGGCTTTCTTGGAAACTTGATACAACCTCCACATAAAAATCATACAACCGTTGTAACAAATCTCTCAGCTTTCTAGACATCAACCCAACCTTTTGCAATTCATTGCCATAAATCTTTTTATACCCCCACTCCACATATTTTATTTTAAACCGAGGATCTAAAACCGCTACAATCAATACCATCATGTTCGATCTATCAACACTTCCATAATACTTATCACACTTCTCTTTCATTTTCTTTGACATGTTGTTAAGTACTGGATTTGTGTCTTTCTCCCAGTCATTCAAACAAAGTACAATACTAATTGTCTCTTGAAAGTAAGTGTTAGAAGTCACATAGTTCAACCCCGACATTTTTTATGTAGCTTCATAAAATTTTCTAAGGAATTTAGCAAATACATTTGCTTTTTCCCAATATTCGTCAAAAGGTGTATCATGTGACAAATCCACAACGTAGTTGGGATCCTTATCTTCTAACTTCTGAAAAGCTTTCTTGAATTTTACTGTAACATCTAACATCAAATAGGTGGAATTCCATCTGGTAGCAACATCAAGACACACACCACCTTTATAAGCAATCATTTCTTCTTTCACAAATCTCTGAAATATTTCGGCTATAGCAGGGGAACTCCTCACTTACTTAACTGAATTACGAATTTGGCTAATACAATCTTTTGTCTCACTAAGACCATCCTTCATGATCAAATTCATAATATGAGCAGTACATCTTATATGGAAGAACTCACCATCCAGAAGTAGTATTAATTTGCCCCTCAAGTAAGCGATTGCCATGTCATTAGTGCTGGCATTATCCACCATTATAGTAGACACTTTATCTTTAATACCCTAATCGAAAATGCACTTCTCAACCACTTTCCCTGTCTCTCTTTCTTTATGACTACTAATGGGCACAAAACTGAGAATTCTTTTATGTATAACCCAATTCTCATCAATGTAGTGACCACTGAGACATAAGTAGCTAATATTCTGAATTGAAGTTCATATATCGGTAGTCAAAGCAATCCTAGACTTTAGAGACCACAACTTACTTTTCAATAAAACCTTTTCAGAATCAAAACGCTTCACAACATCCTTATCCAATGTGATGCAAGAAATATTAGACCACAAAGGTTGCAATGAATTTAGAAATCTCCTAAACGGTGGCTACTCTACCATTCGAAAAGGTTCTTCCATAATAATAACCATTTCAGCAAGCAACTGCCTAGACACCTCTTGATTAAATTCCCATGTGTTAATCGTACTACTTTCCTCTCCTTCTTCATTTATGGTCTTGAAAAATGAGATAAGTGTTTGACTTCTATCTATATTTCTTGGGCATTTCTTACAATTGGATAAATGCTTACGCACAAAAGAAGTTCTATTTGTCGCATTATACACCAACATCTCTCCACAATACGAACACTTCGTTCGGTCAGCTATGCCTGTTGTCTCATTGAAAATTTTCTCAAAGTGTTGCCACATGTCGGATGACTTATGTTGTGCACGCATATTTGAGATAGATTCTTTAACGATATTAGGCATATCCTCTCCAATGGCAATGTTCTCTCTAATTAATGACATTGTTCTTGCAAAAACTAATTAATAACCATGACTTTTTGCTGTGTATACTAGATATCACCTGCATTTTACAACTTTCCTTGTAATGAATAATGAATGATATGATATGATATCCATTATTCATTACAAGGATATCATATCCTTGTGATTCTCCAAACGAATGAAATAAAGTAAAAATTATCTTTGTAACGATTTTTTATCTTTTTATGCTTGTCATCCAAAGATGTAGAGGATGCAGGATTCTTTGACTCCAAATTCTTTTTTTTTCTTTTTAGGTAATCGATAGCCTACCCTAAAATAAATACAATCACCAATTCACCACAGACCTTTACAGTGAAACTCCATAAATTCCTATCCCAAAATAACATAGACCTTTACATTGAAACTCCATAAAATCCTATCCCAAAATAAATACAATCAATTTAATTAATATGTTATAAAATTGAAATGAAACCCACCTAAG